TGGCTGATTTTAGAGAAGGTTCCATGGGGTACTGAGAAGAAGCTACAATCTTTTTTTGTTAGGGTGGAATGTTCTGTAGATATTGATTAGGTCCATTTGAGTCATAACATCTGTTAAGCGCCTTATTTCTCTATTAAGTTTCGATTTAGCAGACCTATCCAGTGGTGAGAGTGGGGTATTGAAGTAGGGTTTTATGTGTGATTTAAGCTTCAGTAATGTTCCTTTTACATATGTGTGTGGCCTTGTGTTTAGGACATAAATGTTCAGAATTGAAACTTCATCTTGGTGGATCTTTCCTGTGATGAGTATATAATGTCCTTCTTGATCTCTTTTGATGGATTTTAGTTTGAAGTCTATTTTGTTGGATATCAGGATGGCTACACAGCTTGCTTCTTAAGACCATTTGATTGGTAAGACTTTTCCCAGCCTTTTATTCGGAGGTAGTGTCTATCTTCAAATTGAGATGTGTTTCTTGTATGCAGCAGAAAGTTGGGTCCTGTTTTTGTATCCATTCTGTTAACCTGTATCTTTTTATAGGTGAATTAAGTCCATTGATATTAAGGGATATTAATGACCAGTGATTGTTAGTTCCTGTTATCTTTGGTGGTAGTGTGTGTGTATTTCTCTTCTTTGGGATTTACTGCTGTGGAGTTATCTATTGCCTGTGTTTTTGTGGGTGAATCTGACTTCCTTAGGTTGGAATTTTCCTTCTAGTGTGTTCTGTAGGGCTGGATTTGTGGATAGGTATTGGTTAAATCTGGTTCTATCTTGGAATGTCTTGCTCACTCTGTCTACGGAGATTTAAAGTTTTGCTGGGAATATTATTCTAGGCTGGTATCCATAGTCTCTTAGTGTCTGTATTACATCTCTTCAGGCCCTTCTGGCTTTGAAAGTCTCCTTTGAGAAATTGGGTGTTATTCTGATGGGTTTGACTTTATAAGTCACTTGTCCTTTTTCCTTTGCTGCTCTTAATATTCCTTCTTTATTCTGTAGGTTTAATTGTTTAATTATTATGTGGTGAGCGGACTTTTGGGGGGGGGTCTAGTCTGTTTGGTGTTCTATAGGCTTCTTGTATCTTCATAGTATTTCCTTCCATAAGTTGGGAAAGTTTTCTTCTATGATCTTGTTGAATATATTTTCTGTGCCTTTGAGATGGCATTCTTCTCCTTCTTCTATTCCTATTATTCTTAGATTTGGCTTTTTTATGGTTTCCCAGATTTCCTGGATATTTTTTGTTATGACTTTTTTGGCTTTGGTATTTTCTTTTACTGACGAATCTATTTCCTCTCTTGTATCCTCTACACCAGAGATTCTCTCTTATATCTCTTGTATTCTGTTGTTTATGCTTGCATCTGTGTTTCCTGTTTGTTTACTCAGATTTTCTATTTGCAGCATCCCCTCTGTTTGTGTCGTCTTTATTGTTTCTATTTCTTTTCAGGTCCTGAACTGTTTCCCTCACATGCTTAATTGCTTTTTTATGGTTTTCTTGGCTTTCTTTGAGGGATTTATTAATTTCTTCCAATTTTTTTTTTTTTTTTTTGGTTTTTTTGAGACAGGGTTTCTCTGTGTAGCTTTGCACCTTTCCTGGATCTCGCGCTATAGACCAGGCTGGCCTCGAACTTACAGAGATCCGCCTGCCTCTGCCTCCCGAGTGCTGGGATTAAAGGCGTGCGCCACCACCGCCCGGCTCCAATTTTTTATTTGTCTTTTCCTCTATTTTTTATTGATTTCTTCCAATTTTTTGTTTGTCTTTTCCTCAATTTCATTTTTCATTTTTTTTTCTTGAAAGGCCTCTAGCACCTTAATGATGCTATTCTTAAGGTCACTTTCTTCTGCTTCTTCTACATTGTGATGTTCAAGTCTTGCTGTTGGAGGAGCACTAGGTTTTGGTGATGCCATATTGCTCTTTTTGTTGTTGTATGTATTTTTGCCTTGACATCTGCCCATCTCCTCCTCTAATAGGTATAAGAGTTGCCTGTCTGAGCAAGTTGCTATTGTTCCACTCTGTGTTTGTTGTGTCTGTGTCTCAGGGGGCCCCTCTGGGTCCAATCTTAGCTCTTGGTCTAATTGGAACAGGCAGATTCTGTGTCTCAGGGAGTTGTTCTTGGTTCAACTGAAGCTAGTTGATTCTGTGACTCACAGAGCCAATCTTGGTCTTATCAGGTCTCTTGGTCCAGTCAGAAAGCCACTCTTGGTCTAATAAGGGGTGCAGATTCCCTGTCTCAGGAGAATATTCTTGTTCCAATGAGAGCTCTTTGTCCAATGAGGGCTGGTGGTTTGCTTTCCATGCCTCAGGAAGTGGCTGGTGTCTCAGGCAGAAGTGTATGGGGGCAGGGTGTGTAGATTGCAGGATCCAGTGGGGGGGGTTCTTGGTAGGGGGCGGGGCTTCTTGCAGGAGCCCTGCCTGCTGGCCTGCAACTGGGACAGAGTTGAGTGGGGATTCCTGGGAATTTGCTGTGTCCTAGGGATGGGTCCAAGGGTCCCTTTTCTCTTTCTTAATCCTACATATTTATATTTTATTTGATGTCAGAAACCTTGCATCATATATTTGCAGGTATTGCCTCTTTATTCCTATGACTATTTCTTTCTATTAATTCTACTAGCTTATTCATAGTATCCCCATTTTCCTATGTTCAAAGCTGTCTTTGCTGCAAGCATAACACCAGTATAAACTGATTGATGTCCCTGAGTGATATTCCACACAACAATGCCTGCTCCACTTTAGTTTAGGAAAATTATTTTGGGATTTACTGCTAAACTAGACAATTACTCCTAAACTAGTTAGGAGTTTTTAAAATATGTTATTTATGAAGTAATTGATTAGATATTTCTTGTAAATAAGTGAACATCTGTTCCAATGTAAAGGAAGTAAGCAGCATTCTGGTTGTCATTAATGGCACCACTGCACCTCAGTTTTACTTTTTTGTGGTGAAGAATTTTCTTACTTACAAGTTAGTCTTGCTAGCTTTAATCCAGCTCAGCTTTACTAATAGTGAGCAGACCACACTGCCCCTGCTGCTTTCTTGATCAAAACACTGCTTCTGAACTGTCTTGTATATTCCACAAACTTAGCAGAGAGGAATATGTTCAGTCTTGCTTTCATTATATCTGTGAACCAAATCAATATAGGCTATTCATAGAATTTTAAAAACTTAGAATGAGCCTCACATCCTGCTGTGGGATGGTCTGTATGTCAAATGTGTTGCTGATTGGTCAATGAATAAATCACTGATTGGCAGTGGCCAGGCAGGAAGTATAGGCGGGACTAACAAAGAGGAAAATTGAGAGAACAGGAAGCTGGAGGGGGAGACACTGCCAGCCGCCATCAGGACGAGGAAGATGTAAAGTACCGGTAAGCCACAAGCCACGTGGCAAGGTATAGATTAATAGAAATGGATTAATTTAAGCTGTAAGAACAGTTAACAAGAAGCCTGCCACGGCCATACAGTTTGAAACCAATATAAGTCTCTGTGTTTATTTGATTGGGTTTAAGCGGCTTGGGACTGGCGGGTGAGAGAGATTTGTCCTGACTGTGGGCCAGGCAGGAAAACTCTAGCTACAACATCCCAAATGAATTGCATCATATTTTTAAGGCATATTCAAAGTCTTCTTTTATCCTTTTACAGCAAAATGCTATAACTATGGATTATGGCAGTAACTATAGCCTGCTCACAATGTAATAATTATTATTATTGTTAACTGCCACTTTCAGATAATAATTTTACCTAATAGGGACATTTGAAAATGATTCCTTTCCCTCTTATCTCCTACATGATAATATAGTTACACTAACCTGATTTATGAAGAAATGTAACCTTTATAAAAAAAGATGATGACTTTACCTCCATTGTATCTTTTAGATAAAATCTAAACTGTTTGTGATTTCAAAAATATGTCCTGATCTATGATCATAACCACCATACTCTGTAATGCTGTCCATCTAATGGCCTGAAACACATTTGTCCAGCTTACAACCTTGTTTCTGACTCTCAGATCGATCATACATATTCTCTGCATTAGTTTTTTCACTTCTTAAAATAACCTCTCATCTACAAAATCCTTTATGGTTCTCTCACTTTTTATATTTTCCTCTTCTAGGGTTTCTTTCATTTCTTTTTGTATCAAGTTTTCTTACAACATCTATTCTGTTTTAATACACTGTATTTTTTACTGTTTGTGGAGGGCTTTCTTTTCGTTCTTATTTAATTTTCCATTTTTATTTCTATTTACAAAACTGTGAAGTGCTTAGACTGTGTTCACAAGAGTAGGATGGGGGAGATACTTGAACAATATCAAGTCATTCGTAAAGAATTGTTGAATTAAATTGAACTGCTGGATGATCTCTTCAGATATGGTTATCAAACAGAACTTTTCATGGAATTCAACAAGCTTAAAGAATAAATTTCCTGCAATGTTCCTATTCTGAAAATAAGTATCTGGGTATGACTAGAAAACATTAACCAAGATTTGATTGGAAAACATGTCTTGTTAGAAATCAGTTACCAAATATCACAGAAACTTGAAGTCATTAATTTGCCAATACTAAACACTAGATTCATGTGTCAGACACACAATACACATATGCCAATTTTATTGAGAGTCTGAAAAATATAAAAATAAAATCCCAGAATTTAGGCAGATTTTCAAAACAGAAAAACTAGGTCCTATAATTTGAAACAAAGCCCCATGTTTTGACTTTAATAGGCTTTTATTTAGAAAAAAATCAAATTTGAACAAATATTTCTCAGAGACTGCTCTTTAGAAAAAAATCAGACTTGAAGAAATATTTAAATGCCATAAGTAGGTTTTTATACTATTGTTATAACATGGAGTAATCTGTCCTATGTCATCAAACTTCCTAATATTTGAGTCCTGTGTCAGTCATATCAAAGGTGTTAGCTTTGGTATAGTTGGAGAATAGCTTCCTAAACTTAGAATTTCTTTTCATTTAGTCTAATTTCTCCTATTGTTTCATTCACATTATTTACATTTTTTTTTAGATTATTAAAACGAGAGGACAGTTTCACATTCATTCCTCGTTCCCGTGAAGAACTTCCAGACAATTTTCCAAAAGAAATCCCTGGGGTCTGCTATTTCCTGGAGGTAAGGACTGGTCCAAAGCCGCCAAAGCCTTCTCTGTCTTCATCAAGAATAAAAAAGATTTCCTACAATATTGGCACGATGTTCCTTCGGGAGACAAGCCTCTGAGACCTGCTGAGGATAAAAGACTCCTCCAAAAAGCACAAGCCCAGAACATGGGTCCCAACGACGGGAGGAAGGGATTGCTTCTCTTCCAATGCTCTGTAAGAACATACAGTACAGTTTCTGTGTCAGTGTCATGCAATAATCCTTGAAACGGTGAATAACTGCTGCCCCAAAAAAAGAAAGAAAGAAAACTGGATAGTGGGAGGGAAAATATGATGTATTCATCCATATGAGTGTTTCTGGTCATATGTATTTTATTTACAAGTACAGGCCCCTTTTCAAAAGTAACCAGTCAATAGCATCTGTGTTTTCTTGCTCATCACCCATGCAGGTATCTCTTCCTATATATTTGTACCACTTTTGAGAGCCAGTTTTGAATTCCTACATTTAGTCAACTGGTAGGTAAGGATTACTCTCTAATTATCTTTTCCTGAATAGACATTCCATACATAAATCATGATAGTGTGATTAAACTTCCAAGCAGGAAGAACTCAGCAAAATATTTTAGGGATATTACCTATTTTTATAAATATATACATATATATCTTCTTATAGATAATTACATTTCACATAACATGATTAGATATTCAGAATGTACTGTCGCATTGTTGGAATATTATGTGATGTCAACCTACTAATCTAATATAGTTTCACTTGTTTATAGAGATTAGTGCTTGGACTGAGAGTATATATAACCAAGGATATCAGCTGTTGAGAAAACACGTATCTGCTTAGTGAACGCACTTTTTAGATTTATTTAATGTAGCTTGGTGTCCAGAGGAAATGGAATTTTCTAGTAGCAGATATATCGGTAACTAAGATTCAGTAAAGATCTCTTGGTAATCTTCAAATGTGTATCAGTTAAAACAAACTGCTTTGCAATACTGAGCTCTTTTCCAGTTAGAATGTAGGATGTAGATGGAGTTTTCAACCTGAAATAGCATCTTATGACATGATATATTAGTAACTTCCCTTCCTGTCTTTACTGCTGCTAAGTACCAACTTCTAGTCTCAGACAAATCCCTGAAGCCAGTGTTACTGACAAAAGCCTGTCAGGACATTTGTTTTTTATTGCCTAGACACAAAAAAAGAAAAACCCTGGATTCCATGGCTTTGAGACTCTTAAAAAGTATATTCTTCTGCAGTTTGATAAGGCTTTTAAAGCAGTGAATCTGCTCAGGAACACTGGAACAGGCCTAACTCCTGATCTAGCAAGCACCATATATGTACAGATAGGTTTCCATTGCATGTTCTACTAAAATGATGGCCTGCTACCAATAGCCAACACTGCATGAAAAAAAAAATTATTATAGGCTCACACTGAAATTAGGAGTACACAGTGTGGCCAGAATTTTTGTATTTGGAATCAGCTATAAAATCTAAACTTCTGAAGAGTTCAATGACCTGGAAGCATTTGTTGTTGAAATATTAGAGTGGACTTTTTCTTACTCCAGTATATATACTCACTGATAACTATGTTTACTGGATGCAATATACTTTTTTTCTGTTCAGGAATTTGGGGCTGCATTAAAGATTTTATAACATAGTTTAGATAAGATATATATTAATTTTCAATGTCGTCTGTGAAGGTTAATCAATGTTTTTACATTCTTTATTGTGTGACTTGAGAACTTTCAAAATATGCAAAGTACTTGTTTTAGTCATGGTCTCTCTCTAATTTGAGCTATCTTCTTGCCCTGTTATATTGGAGACATGAGTTCAACAATCTTCACTTGGAGAAGGCAAGATATACTGCCTCCAGGTTCTAAGCTGTTTCCTGTTCCCCCTTTTCCCAGGCATAGGTCTCTATTTTTACATCATACTGATAGATGGCCAGAGCATGCCTAGGAGGCTTTGTAGCCTGAATCTGGTGTATCCTCATGAGAATAATAATAAATAAATTTCTTCAAGAGACTTGGATATTAGCCCACCTCCTTCAAAGTAGAGGGATTGAGAGGATTTTCAGGGAGCGTGGATGGAATAAGCTAGAAACACAAAGTAGTCATGCTCGTATTGAAAAAAGTCTGAAGAAAGCTAAGAGTCTCCTTACTGTTGAGGAAATGAAAAAATAGCCATGCTTACTGAGGCCATTTATGCCTATTATGTGCAGTAACTGTGTTTATTATGATATATTCAATCATTCAATATTCAATAAACATTCTGTAACCATATGACTGAAAAAAGATATCCAAGGAACCATCCAATCTATTTCTATACTTTCTGCAAAGATTTATCTGAACAACTATCTTAAACACACAGTTATTCTCTCTGTATTTAAGAAAATATGTGAGAAATACACACACACACACACACACACACACCCCACACACATGTGTGTGGGGTGTGTGTGTGTGCATTTTTAAAAACCTACTATTTGAAATCCGCTCCAGTATTCAGTGACTGGTTATAGGTCTCAAAAGGGGAATTTGTTCACTTATTCTCAGTTTTCTCAAATCATTGCAAACTCTGCATTTGTTTACATTTGTTTACATTAGTTTACATAGCGAAGAAATAGCCATTACACTTCAGAAATGTCACCTTAAAGAGTATTGCAGAAATCTATTATATATCACTGACAGGAACCTATACTCTTCAAACACTATAGTCTAAACATATTTCTGAAGACAGTCTGAGGAAACTGTCTAACCTTTTATGAGTTTTCCAAACTATTTCAAATGACCATAATAGTTACACTGTTGCTGTATGTGCTTGTGGGGCACTATGTTAAATGGTAAAAATAAATAAATAAATAAAAGTTTCTTTATTCTGTTCATTCTGACTGCAGTCATATAAGGTAGAAGCTATGAAAATTTATACTTTCATTTTTCCTGCACAATGGAGTTCATATGCCCTACATTAGAATTTTTGACTGCAAATATGAGACAGTATTTTGATTTTATTGACTAATATCTCTCCATTGCTTTCATATGCTTACAACTCTTAGGAATTGTGTACATTTTAGTGTGTCAGGTTGAAAGGAATTTAGAAAAGTCCCGATAGAAACCAAGTGATTGCATATTGGTGTAATATGTTTAGCTCACTGCAAAAAGAATGATTTCAAATGCAGCATGCACTTATAGCTTCCCTGATTGAATATTGGGTGGTGTAGCTAATTTAGCAAAGGGACTTTGCAACTAGACATTATTACCAATAGTTCCCTCAGGCAGAAGGATCATTTGATGAGAAGAACACCATCATCTACAAAAAAAATCATCAATTTAGCATAGTTATAATCTCCATATATTTATCCAAATCTTCCTATATAGAATCTTTCTTATGTAGTTTAATAAACAACAGTGGCCACAATGAAAGAGGAAGATGTCTCAGAAACATGGTTAGGCCTTTCAGCTGTATGTAATGAAGGTTATCTGTGACCCAACTTCTAAAATCTACCTCTGTATGCATTGTATTTTAGACCCCTTTGGGTTTCTCTTTCAATGCTATATTATATGTGGAGTCCAGTGAGCTGTGACCCATAGTTTCGACACAGATTGTGATATGTGAAAGTGGAGAATTGGTCTGTGGATTCAGCACACATTAGTTCTTAAAAGTCTCAAACTTTCCTGTCTTGTGTAATGACTGTGATTTCAGGATAGATATACAAGTTCAGAAAATGAAAGTTTGTGCCTCTTCAGGGAAAGCAAAACAGGATATTAAAGAGTTAAACAAAATATCATTCTCAATTGCAGCAATTTTTTTAAATTTGCAAATTCTTCCAAAGAGTTCTGGCAATAAAGCAAAAGTACACAGAAACAAAGACTTTACAGAACCATCAAGCTCCATATTCTGTACAGAAAGGGTGTTGCTGCTAACTGAAACAGTATGTCTGCAGTTGTGCAGTGTTAAGAGTTATTTGGAGTTTATGACCATCACCATTGACAGTTGCTTGGCTTTATGACTGGCTGATGGGTGTTGTACATGTTTAGGGCAGAAAGTAACAGTGGTGTAAGTTTTTGTATTATCATGTTCTTTAGTAAGACATGAGTTATCTCTCCCTCACCCTTTTGTCCTCTGTGTGCTCAGCAGATACAATCTCAATCCCTCAAGCCCAGTCTCCATCAAATATCATTTATTCCTTACTTCTGAAACAGACAGCCATAGAAAGAGTTGGTAATGCTTGATCAGGGGAGATGTTGGACCTTCCTTACAACTGTGTACAGTCTGTTGGGCATAAATTGTGTCTGCACTTATTCTCTTCCTTCAAAACACAGCCTGACTCTAAGTACTTCATGTAACTCCTTGAATATTCCCTTGGAAATAATTTTACATACATGAGCTTTCAGTCAATGCAATCTGATGATTCGAATCCTTGAACCATTATCATACCTTAGTTTGGTTCTTTTTGTTATTAGATTGTAGACCTATAGCTACAAAATACAGTTATTTTAGAGACTTCTATAAGCCTGTGTAGAAAGTGATAGCTCAAATTCCTGATGTAAGAGAAAATAAATTTGTTGGTTTTAGGGTCTATTCTTACATGAGTGTGCCTAACTCAAAGCCAACTTAACATACACAAAAGTTGTGTTAACAAGATGGAACAATTTTTTGTTAAGGAAGTAAAATGGTCTTAGGTGTTGGCTCATGTCAGAATTCCTGTGGTGGTGAATGAAGAACAGCTGCTGATATTCTAGATAGAATAACATAATTTTGTCAGAGTCTATTGAAATAGTGTGCAAAATTCCTTCCTCACACTTTATTCAAATAACTGGAACCTAATCGTTAGTGCCCTGATACATTTCTGTTTCTTCTTTCTTCTTTTCCTTCCATTGATAAAATAAGACATTTATAGGACAGGAACAATCACAACTGACTGCATCCCTTCAAATTGTTTTAAAAAGTACTGAATCTTGTGTGTGTGTGTGTGTGTGTGTGTGTGTGTGTGTGTGTGTGTGTGCAACGTGCACACATATGCTTGTGTGTGCATATGTGCATGTGGTTACTGAATCTAAATGGAATGTCATTTGGGGAGGACCCGGGAATGTGTGGAAATGGTTTGTCTTTGTCTTTGTTCTGGTATGTTGTGTGTCCTTGTCGTATGCTCAGTCAAATGCGTCATTACTCTTTCCTGCTACCCTAGTTTAATGACTCAGCTGGTCTGCTTAAAAGTGTCTGTCTGGCTCCATAAGAATTACCTAGGAAATTAAAAATGTGAATTCCTGGGTGTTTTCTTCAGAGACTTGAATTCATCAGGTCTCAGGACCCAAGAATCAGCATTTAGGAAATCTCTCTAGGTGACACTGATATTACACACAGATGTTACATACAGCCAGATGTAGGGATTATTGAAAAGCACACATACAGTCTCAATAGCTACAAGTTAACACAAGTTGACTGAGATAGCAATATATTATTTAATTTATAGTTATTTGAATATTTAAATGCTCTCTGGGTTACTTGCTATTATTTCTGTCATAAATTTTGAGTTTAGCTTTGGTTTCAAATACTTAGTCTGCTTTCAGAGCATGAATCTTCTTCAAACTTATTAGGGATAGAAGTCAGCACTGATAAGCTTGAGGGATGAATATTGCTCACTATAGGGCTATTAGGCATACTAGCTATTTTCTTAGTTACTGCCAAAGCTGTGCAGTACATTAATTACATTTGCTGTCTCTCACCACCAAGGTACAGAGAATGAGCTTAGGACACAGGCATGTATTGAAGCCTTACTTCAGAATGCTGTGATCTATGTTGTAAAAGGACACCAAGTTAATACTTAATACTTTGTCTCATCATGTACATTACACATAGGATTTTATACTTGTCTCAAAGTAACTTTGTAGCAATACTTTATAACAGTCTTTCAAGCAATAATTTAAGCCATGGTAATAATGCCATACATAATGATTTCTGTGCACTTCACCAAACTTTTGAAGAAATAGAGACATGGTTTCCATAAGCAATAATATTGGTGGTTTGGAACTTTTAAAGTTATTTGGTGTTTCCCTCAAAATGAGCAGCAAGGGTTGAATAAGATTTTAAAAACTGAACAAATAGTATTCTAATCCATCTCAAAAGTCACTCATTTACAGACATGTAGTGTATTTCCATCAGACTATGTCAGATACATAATTTACAACTATTTTATTGTGATTTCTCTTTCTCTCAAAGACATGTACTATTTGTAAATTGCCCAAATCTTTGAATCTCTGTAGTTTATACCAGTGAGCAACAAGAATGTATAAGTGGAAGTAGCGTGTAAGTTGGAAGAGCTGATTGAGAAAGCAAACTTTGCTGAAACATCCATAGATCTTGGTTTGAGAAGGTCTTAAAGACTGAAAATAAAAAGAGCAGAGAGATTTCTAAAGGTATCAAGACTAGGAGAAGAGGTTTTTATAGTGGACACTTCTGATTTAATGAATGCTAGGTGACACATTTGGTGTGTGTGTTACTCTTGTGGGTTTTGTTGTTGTTGGTGGTGGTGGTGGTGGTTGTGGTGGTGGTTTTGTGTTTGTTTTTTTAAGAAGGAAAAAAAACAAACTAGCCATTTTCAGTCATCAAATGAGACAGTGCCAGGGCTTCAGCAGCTGTGAGTCTCAGTGAAGCTGCATTTATAAGCTCACAGAGCTATAAAGAGCAACTCTCTGAAGGTGGCAGATAGGGTGAGTCTTGGTTACAGTGATGACAGTAAATAGAAGTGTCAGAACATCTGAATCTCCAAAACAGAGAAGGCCAAACACTGTTTCTGCCTTATGTCACAGAAAAGTCTACTGAATGTAGCACAGGACAGATAGCCAGTGGGCAAGGGGCGTTAAACAGAACATTTTCTTCTCTCTTTGAACATGTTTGGATGAGCTAACATTCATTAAGAAGACTGTTTTGTACATTGCACTCCCCCTCACCCCTGGCATTATAGAAATGATGTTTTCCTTATTGGGAACTTCAATCCCAAAGTCTGGAAAATGTTTCATGCCCTAAAGCCTGTGCCATCATCTTTGAAGCTATTCCATATTTCATACTTTCTCAGCCTGCACTATGTCTGCTAACAAAGCAAGAACTGGGCTTCTGAAAGGAGTAATTCCTAGGTGTGCCCAGACTCATCCTCCTCTGGGATGCTCCAGAGAACTAGAGGTAAGAAGAGAACTCAGAACAGTGTTCAGGGAAGAAATGAAGGTACTCTCTCTGCCTTCTAAATTTGAAAAAAAAAGCTGAATAGCCTGTTATTATCACTCAGAGATTTCTTAATTTCTTATAACTGGTTACTTCATGCAGAATTCATTTAGGATCAAATATTTAGGAGGAGTAGGCTCCTCTCCCCTCCCCCATTTTTAATGAGAATCATCAGTCATAGAAATAATTTAGGATACAGATTTGTTATACTGAGTCAGCTCACTTGTATATAAACTTCAGATTTGTTAGGGTTTAAAAAAAAATATTTCCTAAGATGCACCAAGAGCTTTAGTGATGAGAAACTAATTCTTTGACTTAGTCTCTCAGGTTTTATCCTATGATAATAATACTTAATTATGTATTAATTACATTTCAATGATTTTTATTCTTCCATGTTTTCTATGCTACAGGCAAAAGTTATAGAGTTGTTATAAATAAGATGAACTTACAAATTGTGGCATTGAACCATATTTCTCTAGTTGGACAGTCTTCTTGCACTTGAACTGCTAAACTATTTCTGAGGTTGATAGTAAAAGTCAAAAGTAGTGCGTTCAGTCTCGTTCATAGTAAGGAACCTCAGAATTGTCAGACAAAAACCTGAAATAAAAGCCAGCTACCAACTGCATCTGAATCATTGGAATAACAGAGTATTCCACATCAAGCCTGGCTAAAAAGAATCCATTCAAGCCGGGTAGTGATGGCACCTGCCTTTAATCCCAGCACTTGAGAGGCAGAAGCAGGCAGATCTCTGTGAGTTTGAGGCCAGAGTGAGTTCTAGGAAAAGCTCCAAAGCTACACAGAGAAACCCTGTTTCAAAAAAAAAAGAGTCCATGCATTTCCACATCCAAAGAAATGTCAGTTCTAAGAGCAATTCTGCTTTCTTGGCTTTTCAGGAAGCATTTGAATTTCTTCTGTGTCACTGATTTTCATTGCCAAAAGAGAAATAGCTCTTATTCTGAGATTTGACCAGTATATTTGAATGCAACCACTTAAAAGTTCCTCATTCCCCACCCCAAGTGCTGCTAGCTAAATATCTCCAGAGAATAAAGCAAAATAATGAAGAATTAGCAACAATGTGAACTAATGCAATTTTTTGGTGTAAATTTCCACATTGGAACCAAAAGCTAACCTTGATTTGGAGGTGGATACTCAGACAAATATTTTTTGTAGTCACTGGCAGAAAATAGTGACAAAAAAGATCAAACCATCTCTAATCACTGAAGTCTAGATATTGTACAGGATTATAAAACTGTCTAAAGGAATTCAGCAGGAATTTTAGAAAAGTTCCTGAATTTTTGCTGTTGTGTAAGGTAATTATGGGTGGATAGTAACCAAAATTATCATCCCTTTCATTTTAATTAGTTTGAAGTTTGTCACTTGGCACTTGCAAAATTCAGAACTATCATTTGTTATGTGACTCTGTGACCTAAAACAATGGTTACCTCTTGCTTTTTCTTTTGATCCTTAAAACACGTTTTTTTCTGTCTATGAAATATAAATTATTATCTGTCCATAAAAGTTGTCCTAATTTTTTAGCATATATAAAATATTTAGGTGGATGAAGCTGAAGGGAATGAAAGAGTAAGAAAGAGGCCCCCTGAGAGGCCACTACAGGGAGGACAAAGAGGAGACATTATTTGCTTACATTAAAATTATGTCTGTAGTCTGTCCTTGTTAACCTAAGAGAAAGCTGAGTTATTGATATGGGTATTTCATTACAATTTTCTTAAATAACACAATATTTATATTTAAAAAACTGTGATAAAATAATGTATAAAATTCAGCATGTCTAAAGTTTTAGAAAACAAACAAGGAACTTAATAAAACCACTAATTAGAACGACTATTTAAAGGAAAATAACAATAACAAAATTCTTCATCAAATATGTCCACCAGTGCCATAATTTAGTTCTATTTGGAAATTTTAGTGCTTTATCTTCAATTGGTATTTGTTACATGACAAATCAAGCTATAATATACCCCTTATGATATTATGAGAAGCCTTACAGGAATTTAAATAGCATCTGCATCAGCTGTAGTTGCAACTTAAATATGATATATCTGTATCATTTCTGAATAAATCTCTCAACAAAAGTCTGTTGAATGGATTGCATACATAGGTACTATGTAGGGCAACTAATCAAGTCTATAAATGTGTTGGTGTTTTTAATTCCTGTACTCCTCTCTCTCCATTTTAAATCTTATACTTCTCTTCCCTCCCTTCCTTCCTCCCCTTACTCTATCTTTTCTGTCTCTGTTTCTTCATAACTCTTATAAGGTACATAAAAGTAGTATTTCACTCTTTTGAGCTGAGGCTTCTTCTTTCCACATTCACATGACAGAACACTCTGTAGACTGGTGAGGTTATGAGGAAACAATTAGAACTTAGCAGAGATCGTTTGGGAAGAGAAGTGAATGTGACTTTGGACTTTGGCTGCTGAAGGCTTTGTCATACAAGAGAAACATTGGTCTATACAAACATCTTTGAGGTCTCATGTGAAGTATCAAAATCAGCATTTTAAAGCTCATGCCTTTTGCCCTGTGTGTCTTCATTTAGAAAAATCTTTTCATAGTTAAATCTTCACATTTTCATGAGACTTAAGAATCACACTGCTAAATTAAATACTGAAATAGAAAAGAAGCTTTTCTGAAAGTGGCTTTCAAAATGATAGGTACATCAAATGCATTTTAATTTCACTAGCTCTTTAGGTATAAGGGATACACTGACAAACTTCTTGGATACTGATCAATGAATCAGATTGGCATGTTATAGTGTTTCTAGTTCTTGGAGTATCTGAAAACATTCTACACAGAATTTATGTCTATTCTGTTGAAGAAACAATATGCGGTAGTCTCCATGATTCTTAGATCTATGCCCATAACTGTCTTAAGCACAATTTTGATGTAGTCACTACTATAAATGAATTTCCATAGTCTGAAATTTAAAAAACACCTAATTTTGATCATTTTATATTGTTATAACAAGGGGTCAATCATTAATAAATCTCAATCCAAAACCATTTAATTTTCAGGGAAAACTGGATAATGTGTAGCAATGTATTTGGTTTTTAAAGGAAAATAATTCAAGTATCCTAGGTATACTAAAGAAGCAGGCAAAAAAGGAATTTTAGGAAACACATCTCAACATTTGAATAAACTTTGAACTTTTAAAATCTTGAGTTTTCCCAAATTGAAAGTGTTATTATTATACTTATATATCCCTGTATGAATATTATATTCCAACTTCCATAGAATAACTTTGTATTCTCTAGTGGGATAAGCGTATCATTAAATTTTCCTCTTTAGGAAGATATCTTTTTAAAATCAAACATCCTATACATTGTATTTCCGTTCCTGGACTTAGAATCTGAAGTCTTGTGCATGCCAGGCAAGCAGTTCATCTGGGAACTACCCTCCCAGCTGCAACTTTTTGCATTTCAGTTCCCATTTCTAATTATATTCTTTGTTATGCACCAGAAATCTTAAATTCTGATCACATAAAAATGAAGGTACAAATTTCAAAAAAATTAACAACTCCCAACAGCAACAGCTTTGCTCATCATCTTTTATTTATCCCATTCTCCACTCTGAGCTTGAGAAATGGGAGAATAATCACCAAATTGAAACTTACGTGGCTATTCTTATGATTTTTCCTCATTAAGCCCTCTTTAGTCTCTAAAATACAGCCAATCTTAACACTCAAATATCTTTACCATTTTCATTTATTTAGGGAAACAGTTTAAAAGTGATTTTTCAAAGGAAGAAATATGGATAATGCAATTAAGAAATTAAGCTGTGAGCCAAAGCCCCATTTTTCACTCCCTGTGGTTTTTGCAATCGACTGAAAATCAACTTCTAAGATTCCAGTGTACAAAATCTACATGCTACTGACCACAAAATTTAAAGCAACATTTACTTTATTAGGAAATCTAGTCTTGCTGTCACAGTAGGCCATAACATGAGACAATTCAGGAGGTTTGGTAGGAAAATAGTCCATGAAGAGAATTGTATTTTTGTTGATGTTATCAGATGACCAATTTGTTTCATTTAGAACAGAAAGTAATCTTCCAAAGAGTTTGCTTTGGAAAAAATTATAAGTATTGTAATGGCTTCTGGCACCTACACTACATCTTTAGTATTCAACTGACTAACCTGTCTCTTTATGCTTCCAAAACATACCAATTAAATGCATTCAGAGATACATATCATTCCTCATTCCAAAATCAGCCTACCTGAATTCAGACTGTTTAACTGTGAGTTGCCATTTTTTAATACCAAAGGGTTCCTTTTCCCAAACAGTACTTTAAATATCAAGCTTATCCTGCTCATTTGAGTACATAAGACAATGCACCGAACATTCAGCACCACATAGTAAAGACTAGGTTTCTGTGCTAACATAAAGACATTGTTATTATGTGCTAGGCTTTCGTTGCTGTCCTCTGCATGAGGTAATTTTTTTACTTAAATAAATACCTGAGTTATTTTAACATTTTGGTCCATTTGTTTGTTGCAGTCTCATGGGTCTAAAATTTGGGCTTGGCTTGCTGTAAATATACATATGCTATTTTGCTAGCAGATTGCACTTTGTGAATCATTTCTTTTCAAAATAATCTAGTTATCGTAAACATAAATTATAATATCATCAAATAATACCTGGTAAATATATTATTATATATGTAGGGCATGGTTAAATTACATATATTTTGAAATGTCAAGCTATTTTTCATTTATTTTTAATGAATGCATCTCTTAAACCTGTATCATTAATTTTTTAAAGTTTCATTTCATGTTTCAAATTATATTTCAAAGTATTTTCTTTTCTCTAATAGCACAGTTTTCAAGAAAAAAATTGTGATTAAAATGATCAAATATGCTTCATTTCACTAGAATTTTAAGAATAGTACCTGTAAATATATGACAGTAATTATTACTTATAAACATCCACTATATCTTCTTTATTTTTCATGTAGCACGACTTTTTACCTGTTTGCTTATTTTATTTGTTATTGTCCCAAATTATACACAATGTATATATCCTTCTTCATGATGGAGTAGTTATTGTATTGCAGACTGCAGAACAAGGTGAGTTTGTATGTGTAAAAAATAATTGATGGGCATCTGAGATTCTTCAAAAACAAAGTGGAAATAACCAATGTGTGTTATATTTACATGATTCATTACAGAACTGTTCAAATCATGCGTCATTCACCTTAAAAGTTAAAACTGTCACTTACATAGTATTTAAATCAATAAATTATACAGATGAAAGGAGTCTACAGATTCTTTTTTAAACAGTTTTTATTATTCACACTGTGACTGACTGAGGATAAGACTGAATAACAGGTAAAAAAAATTGAGAGAACAAATGACTGAGTGAGTGGAGTGACCACAGTATGATATTTAGATGGCTAATGATGAAGCTTGAAGACACAATCTTAGGCCTGGTTAATTTTGCATTATTTTTTTAATATGAAATCTGCCCCTAAGTTAGTCATAAAAGCAAATAATTCCTGTTGCAATTACTACACTCTTATGTGTTCTGTTTACCACATAGGAGATGCATAATTCACCCATCTTGTGACCAGACAGTTACTTTCCTGAAAGCAGAAGCAGAAGCACCACTGCCAGCAATAAATGACAACTAAATGCCCACTGAGCACCTCTCAGGACTACATGAAGCACATTCCTTCCAAACACTTCAAAAACTTAATGATCTTGATCCTGCATTCTCATCGTGGTTTACATAGAGTCAAATTGCCTTCGTTATTTTGTTGTCCCCATCTTAGCCTATTTTCTGTCACCAAGAATACAGTTATCACCAACTGGCAAAGTTAAAGAATTTTATATTACTTCATACTTATGGAGGTCCAAGGCCAAAGAGCCATCTCTGGTGACAGCCTTCTTGCTAGGTGAGTTCCTAGCCATCAGGGTTTCCCATGGTGAAATAGCTTTCAATCCTGGAAGCTCTACGTAGGAATATTATCAAATGTAAATCCCAACCACCTCCCACTGGTAATAACTGTAAACTTCATGTAAGTTTCTATACGTATAACATCTTATACTGGAAATTGAGCCCCAACATGTTCAACTGTAGCCAACCTCTCATACACAACCTTTTGATTGCTTATGTTCCAGATAATCCTCAACAAAGCCAATATAGATATTTCTAAACTGATATGTCCAGACATTTGTCTTCCAGATAAGTCTAGACTGTCAAGTTGACAATCAATAATTACCATTATGTGATCCAATATAACTGTACTTTTGTCACCTAAGATATCCACTTAAAAAAAGCCTGTTTTTCTCTCCATCTTCCTTTATGTGGAACTAGTTTGAGTCTTTATTTAAGACAAGATTGAGATTTGGGGGGGTAATTAATTTCCTTGCTATAGCATGTGATTTATTTGATATTCTCACTTCAAAGAAGGCAATAGCTTATATATAAAAATATTAGATTTGTGTTTAGTAAACCGTTGTCTCTGAATGTAAATGCTTGTGCAGCTTGTGCAGCCATCATAAAACTATGAGTCCTGTTTCTAGAATACAAATGAATGGAAAGGAATCTGTTGATTTTGCATGAATTCTGTACAGTTTTTGATAGCATTGGTGACTCGGGTGGTCTCATTCTCAGAGATCCACATTTGGGCTATTTCAAAACAAAGAGCAATCTCTCAAAGACTAGACCAAGTGCATCTTTTTCCAAGGCTAAGTTCATAAAAAATATTGGCCATCTTTAAATTCTAAGCTCAAGCTTTCATTTATCTGGTGTCCTCACTGGAAAGAAGTTATTGAAGCTCTTACTTAATCTTACAGATACTGGAATATAATTCTTAATTAAATATATAAGTCATTTAAATTTTTTGTTTATTCTGCACATCATCTCACTATGATATTGATTCTATTATGTAAATAGAATTCTGCAGGACAGATGTTAAATGTCTTGATCTCTCATTACATCAGATGTGTCAGAATTTCTCAGCTAAGCTTAAAAAGAACCAGGATGAATGAGTCTGGTTGTCTTTTTGTAAAAGTTGACTTACATAGAGATGTTTATTTTCATGTTAAAGCAAAGGAGGAACCACAGATTGAATTTAAAGGGAAACATTAAAAAAGGAAGAGAATACAGTATGTGTTTCCTGGCCTAGAGTATTCTTAAAGTGGGAACTGAAGGAATGGCAAAATGTGAAAAGAAGGAAACATTTCAGGATGATGGCTAATTCCTGAATCTCCTACATCATATTATAAAGACAACTTCCTATTCTGTGTGTGGTTGATGGCAGCTCACTGACATGAAAACAGGTAAAGTGAATTTTAGTGGCAAAGCTTTATCATGCTTCTTTTAAATTATTAACTACAATGAGGTAAGATACTTCAGGATAGAATACACTGTGTGAAAGGTATTAAAATTATAAGCAGAGTTTTCAGAGAGTCTGTCTCTCCTCATCATCATCACTCATTTTCAGCATTTCTGTATGTTCTCAGTAAAGATGTTCCATTTCTGTATGTTCTCAGTAAAGATGTTCATAGTCATTGGAAACACTGGTCTGTGGTAACAGCTACTTCTATATGGATGGAAAATTAATTCTTGTTGGGATCATGGGTGGGGCACTTCATTATCAAGATTTCTCACTAGGATAATTGATCCCTGGACTTACTAGCACTAATGTAAGATGGTGAGAATGACTGTATTACCTCTTACAAATAAGCATTCTTACATGTAGAGAGAGGCTAAGCCTGCTATGAAATCACAAAATATTCTTTGCTGGTTGTGTCCAACTCACCACATCACAATTCACAAATAAGGGAAGAGGAGGCAACCCCCTCCCACTGCCTCAAGATAAGCTGAACAGAACCCAGCATACATCATCACAGTGGCCCACGTACTGGACTCTGTTAGATGCCAATGAACACCCGGAAGCTCAAAGACCTTTGCTTCCTTATGTATGTGAGAGGATATTCAAGGCTGTATCCAACTTTTTTTTTTTGGTTTTTCGAGACAGGGTTTCTCTGTGTAGCTTTGTGCCTTTCCTGGGACTCACTTGGTAGTCCAGGCTGGCCTCGAACTCACAGAGATCCGCCTGGCTCTGCCTCCCAAGTGCTAGGATTAAAGGTGTGCGCCACCACCGCCTGGCTACAACTTTTTTTTTTTATCTAAGTAAATTCTGTTTTAAACTTTCCCAAATGAAGAAAGTATATGGCCCCTAGTAAACTGGATCCAGCTTTATATTCTTTATCTTATTAACTTTTCATTATAACCTTCCTAGGTGGTATTTATTTGTTGTTAAAAAATACATTAAAGTTTCCTCATAATTACAGAGCTATCACATTTTCTCTTCCCTGTATTTTTCAACACCTACAAAGGGACAGTGATCTGTCCTTTCAGTATTTTTCTCTCCCTTAAAATCAACTCCAATTTTCTTCATCTTTCATTTCAGAACATGTTTTCTAATACTTGACAGACGTGTTCATTTTCTCACCACTGGCTAAATATTTACCAAACAGACTGCTTGGCAAGAACTGTTCTGGGTTCAGTTATGATGATGAGTAATATAGTTTTCACTTGAGGGAGCTGTGTGAACATGAGAGAAAGAAAGACAACTCAGAATTGTACAATCAAATTTTTAATTATAAAGTGTGAATAATATGATGTAGGAAATGTAACAAAGCATGTGATGCATACCACACTACACAGAAAGAAGTCATGCGGATATGTCTTTTGAGCCAAGATCAGAATGATAAGTAAAAGTTTAAGACATGTATACACGCCTGACAGAGTATCTAGGAATGAAGAATAAAGTATACAGCTTGGAAAACAAAAGGTCAAACTAGAAACAAAAATAAGGGGGAAAAGTTGATCTGATGTGTTTGAAGCCTCCTGGAGTAAGAAGACAATGTGTTTGCTTAATAAATGTAAAGTCATTAAACAAAAAACATTAATACTTAACAGACAAGATAGAATGGGTCATGGAGAAGTGAATCCTCAGGATGAAGAAAGCCTATCAGAGAATCAAAGAGATGGGAATATCAAAGCAAGACTAAAGAACAGGGAAGATAAAATTAGAAAGGAAGAGGCTACAGTGTTTAAACTGAGTGTTCCAAAGGGACAAGTTGGGGGTAGGGGAACAGATGGTTGTGGTGTTTTAATAGATAGGGAGTGGCTTAGATTTTTTGAACCTTTAGAAACAAACAATAACAAAGTAGTTCAAACAAGAAATACATTGATACACATAGAAAAGCTACAGGTCTTTATAAAAATTAGTGGTGACAAAAGAAAGTGAAAGACAGAATAGTAACAGCAGCAAGACAATGGGAGGGGGAGACAGAGACCTTTTCCATAGTTGGCTAATAGAAAAATAAATAAAAGTCCATTTACTGAACTCTATACTTGATTTATTCTTTTTTCAGGAGTGACAAAATTGTTATTTAGACAGAATGTTTCTGTATAGTCACATAATTTGGATTATAAAGGAATCCAGCTGATTCTAGAAGTTTTGGTTCCAGCCTTTTGAGTGTTGAAATTACAGCCATAAGCCACAATATTTGGTTTAAATTATAACCTTTTTATTACACAAAATGTTACAAAATATGGGCCAAGTAGACAAGCAAAAAGAGATTAAAATGATAATAAAATGTGATGTAGTCATACAATATGATTCTACTTCAAGAGAACTAGAATTATATCAGAATGGTTAATTTTCAAATTCCCAATAATGAGGGAAATAGGAAATAAACCTAGGTATATAAAACATATGGATTTTTCTGCATTTGTTTGATATTTTACTTTTGCCTTTAGTTATGTATATATGTATCAGTCCATGTGTGATTCTGTGCACATGTGAACGTGGGTGCTGGTTGAGGCCAGCAAAGGGCATCAGATCTTCTGAAGATGGAGTAAAAAGTGCTGGAAATAGAACTCAGGTTCTCTGTAAGAGCAGTACAAGCCCTTAACTGCTGATTAACTAAAAAATATATGTATTCCTTTCTCAGTGTTCTTTTCTTTATGTGAATCTACATATCTGTTCAACCTAATATGAAATTTTCATTAATAGTTCTTATATTATCCTTTAAAATCAAATGACATATTCAAATTCTGGCAAATGAATTATCTCATTTTGTTTGTGTAAAAGTGGCTATTTGTCTGCATGTTGGTTGAAGCCAGAGGGCAACTGGAATATTTCACTTCAAGAGCCATCCACTGTGTTTCTGAGAGACCCTGATCTTTCATTGGCCAGGAGGACATCAAGTAGGCTAGACTGGCTCACCAGCAAACC